TGGAAGTTGATGCATCTTTCTGTTTCGTCTCAGGAGGACGTGGAACATGTCTGTATCATTGGATTCATGATAGCAGGGTTTCTACTTTTTGTCACCAGTGGATTCTTATGTTATCGGCTACTAAAGAAGACTGTGGCAGCAGTTTTGGCCAAGGCCAAACTGCCGAGTCTGTGTGAAGGTTTGATTTGTGCTTCGAGGACTCAAAATCAGCTGATTTACGAGCTCAACCATAAGATGGAAGCGATTTGTGAGAATCATAGGCCACCTGCGGATTCTGGGACTCACCAGCACGTTGGGGATGATCTTGGAGGGAGCCAGTAAGCACGGACCAGTGGGATACCCACAAATCTGGCCATTTTGGATCATTGAAAGTACCAGCAGGACTCAAGACTGATGAGAAATAAGAATCTGCCTGAAAAAAATCAACCGTTGTAGCTTATCTGAATCTGACTCCCCGTTTGGCCTCGAAGCAGGACAACATCAAATTTCTCCTGGGATGTGTGTAAACTAAGAAGACTTTGTTTATCAATCCCAAGCAAAAAATGTAAAAAAAAAAAAAAAAAAAAAAGAAGTCAGGTTTGATTAAATATAATTTGAGATGGTAAACGGCGTGGGACAGCGGTGTCTATTTGTGGGATGTTTGTGGTCCATGGAGTGATTTAGTGTGGCCCACAACTGCAAATTAAAAATAGAATAATTATAACCCACAAGATGATGCAGATGTTTGTCACTGTTTAAAGTGCTATATAAATAAATTGGTATGGTATGGTATGGTATGTTCTGCTAATTTAACGGTGATACTTTTTTATATATACAGTATCATTTTTATGTTTAACAGATAAAAAAAAGTCTTCTCATAATGAGCAATATTAAGTACAATACAAACATTTGGTTATATTTAATAATTGTTTCCCCATTTCATGGTCCAAAGTACCACAAACTTTTAGTGACTTTACCAAAAAGTAGACTTTTTGAGAAGCATTTAAAAAGTTACCTGAATATAACAAGAAAATAACTGCAGTTGATTTAATAATTGATGGAGGGAAATTAATCTTCAACGTTTCGGGCCGTCCATGGTGCAAAAAGTTGATTAACCCCCT